GCGCTTCATTAATTAAACCACGTGTTTGTCGCAAACGGAGCTCAGTTTTGCAAAAGAGCAGAAGACGGCACGGAGCAGCGGTCAGCACGTCGCGCTCGAACCTGCAGACTGCGAATTTTATTTCTTCTTACTCGAAACTTATTTGTAAAAGCAGGTTTCCCCACAGCAACATCCTCTTTTTATCTAAGAAACTATGCTAAAATTCAGGAACAGAATTGGAACTCTGATGAGCTTTTACAAACGCAAGACCATTGTATCTTGCAACATTGTTTCACTGTCAATTTTTTTCTTGTTTTTGTAAAGCCATTTTTTTGATTACATTCTCACACTTTCTCAAATTGGCTAAGCCCAACAGTTATCCTAGGAAAGTGGTACAAGTTTAGAATAGATATTTTTATAAATATGAAAAATTCGTTATGAACGGGCGCGCAATGATCTGGGTCATGATTTTCTACAGATGTAGAATCGAATTTGATGACCTTGCGTACTAGCTTTTTCCCTTCGTCAACCGCATAATCCTCCTTGAATTTGTAGTTTTGCATAATAAGGCAGATATTAAAGATGCTGATATCTCAGTTTTTTTAATAGCGATAAAAATTCTCCTCTTTCCTTAGCTCGCTGTTCGGTGATTTTTCATTGCTTCCAAAGGCAAAGTGCATTTGTGCAGCAAGGATAGAGGGAAGGAACTGGAATGAAGAATTTGATAAAGAAGAGTTCGGTTGAAACAAAAATGAAGGCGTAAGGCACAGTTATATTTCAATAATATCAAAAATTTAGCCCCAAACCGGGTCAAATAATTGGTATGCAACTGGTGATGCAACTGGGTTGTTCGCTTAGTCTAGTTGTGGAATGGTCACTTGGTTCGAGAAGCTCTAGGGGACTTAGCCAAAAGTGTAGTCATTGTGAGTTCGATAAGACAAAAAATTATTTCAAAAGCCTAGAGACACTTGAAAAATGCCATTCATTTGAATGTGTTTCTTCGTTTCATACCAAAACATTTGAAAACTAGTTTCATGCGCAGCTCATAATGATCATGTGGAATGAAGAGGAGCTAAGCGAATGAATGATGATGGTCTGCAGATGCGCTAATCCGACTTTTAGCACTTGCTAGAAAACCCGATTTGCAGCTTAATTATGCGGTAAATTGATGCGCATCATTGATCAGTGCATTCATTTTTGACGCTACAAATACGCTGCATTCATCCTTCTCAGCTTTTTTGGTTGTGAATTTTCAGGATGAAAAAATGCGATTACTACTGTACATTATTTCTCATCTTCCTCGATTATGTTATTTCACAAAATCCGTAAGTTGGCATTTTACTCAGCAACAGTTTTTGCATAATTTTGATCGGTGAGCTTTAGGTGTAATCTTAGAGGTTATGCAGCAACATGTCCGGAATGAGGACCAAAATTTTTCGCACCACTGTAGTGAAATAATCGTGGAATATAATCCAAGGTTTCTGCAGCCATACACAGATGCAGATTTAGCTCCGAATGCTTTTAGTCCGATTTTCAATTATTTAAGTAATAAGCACTCCAGCGGCTTCGACCAATGTTGCATCCTGATAAGTGTTTAATGGAGATCCTGACTTTTGTGTCATCTTCGAAAAGGATTGATAACTAAACAGTTCTCCCTACAGCCGTTTTAAGATGTCGTCACTGTCTGCTGGACATCAGCAGTATCTCGATTCAAACATTGCGACTCATAGTCCAAGACGCGGCACCTTATTGATTAGAGGGAAGGAGTTATATAATTGAAATTGAGAGAATGATAGCGTAAAAAAAGAAAAAATGCTACGGAGCAGGAAAATAGGAGAGAAGGTTAACAAAAATTTCAGTTTTATCAAAATTTTAAAACTTTAAGACCCAGAAAAATTAAAAATTAGCGAAATTAGCGAAGTGGAAAGAAGTGCTTCGTGCACGAATTACTCAAAAACTTGATCAAATTAAGTGGAAATAACTGAATGATGGCTTACTTAATGTCATACATTCGTTGTTGTGCGATAGAATATACATGCAGAAGCAGCTATCCTGAATATTTACTGGAAGCTAAAACTGGGCAGTGGTTCACCAGTAATTCATTAGCGGTGCAGCCAATAGCCATGTCGTTTTTTTGTCAAAATTTTTATCTAAAAACTGTTGAGATTGCAGCAGCACTGGAAATGAACTGGATTTCGACGATCAAAAAGTTGTAAGTAAGTGTTTCAGTCTTAAAAGAACAATTAATGTGTTTGAAAAGCATTATGACGAAATAGATGGAATGTAAACGGTAGTTTTCCTTTTTTTTGGCGAGTTTTCTGCTCACAGCGGAAAAAATTTTCCAGGTATCGTTAATTTACGACTATTAATTTGCATCCAAGCAAATCTTCTTTAAAAGCCGTAATGTCTGTGCAAAAATGATGATGCATTAATGGAAAAATTCAATTTTCTTTGCGAAACGATATAAATCTTTTATGGATTGAAATTTTACTAAAATTGAATTAAAAAGTTTCTTAATGGTGAAAAACTGGCGAAAATTGAATAAAATTGTCAGGATAATTAGAAATATAAAACAGTTACTGGTACCATTAAATCAAATTCGAACAATATATCTTTCGCAAAAAAAAAAGAGTGGTAAAAACGAAAAAGTTTTCATTACAAAATCCTGGTAGACGCAACTAAGCACGTTTTTGAACTCAAATTAGAATTGCTGAACTAATTTTATCTACATAGAATTTTTCATTATCATAGCAAGTACATAACAAACACAATAGTTATAACTGCAGTACACCCAAAGTGAAAACTCCTGTTGCATCAACTCTAAATGAGGATTGAAAGCGCCCGCATGTAGCCCGTGTTGTCGCGATGGTGTTAAGCGAGCACAACCCCAGAAATAATTTTACTGCTAAATATTAAAATGAATCAGTTACCCGAATTAAGACGACCATTGTCTGAAGCATAAACCCCGTTAGCGCATCTATCGCCCCATAATCACTATACGGTCGTAAACAATTATCAAAACACATCAATCAAGAGACAAGTGATAGCACATATCCATCTCTGGCAAAGCATGACTTCGTCTTTTGAGGGTTGCTTAGAAGCAAGCTGGTAGCAGGTTTGACCCCTTGACATATGCCAGTACCAATTTGTCTCGAAATGAATGATAGAGTCGTAGAGGGATTGGTTGTCCTACTGACAGTGCCGAACACTGGAATTTAAGCATGTGAGCAACACAATGCACCATGCGCATCAGTAATGAAGTTACGGTTAAACAAACTGCATATTCCGTCTCCAAGAAAAGTAAACTCAGAAGGCAGCCCGAATGGTACTAAATGCTATTACAGCAACCATTCGCTGGCAATAGTGTCGATGACTACCTCTCTGAGAGATTGCCATGAGCAAGCTGATGGCGGGTTTGACTTCCTGGCAAATGTCAGTACCAATTTACCATCGGAACGAATGAACGTATCGTACAGAGATTTTTTTGTTCCGCTAGCGGTTTCGAACCCTGGCAGTTATTTTAAAAAATTCTTAATTTATTACTATTTTTAAATACTTCTAATAATCTAACTCTCGCAAATATGCGTTTTTACATTTGAACAAATATGCAAAAAAAAGCATTTGCATTTGTGCAAACAAGCATATAACTATAATGGCTTGAATAAAACCGGGGTGCTGGACCAGGGCAACACACGTAACGATGAACAGAAACGCTAATATTAAGAACTGAATCTGCAACTTCATCAAAAACATTTATTGTCATGTTTAAATCGCCGTCACAAGATTTATTTTTTCAGCACTGGGACCGCCACGCGATGGTTTCCAGAGAGCAGTTTTTGATGAAGTGTCAATGAACGAAATTAATCGACAACCTGGTCAGTTGAAAACATCGTTATATGTGGACACTTGTAAATTTGACCATTTGCTGAATTTTGACACCGATATGAAAGGAAAGTAGATGCCCACGAGAAGACTGAGTTACAATTTTTTTAAAATTTTTAGGTTAAGAAAAGGATAGGGTTTCCGGAAATGTTTTGCGAAATTCCAGAGCGCGCTGTATGCTAAAATCCGGATTTCAGACAACAGTTTAAAATTGGGGATTCATTTTGCATTTTCGGATGAGTAGAACCAAAAATCAAAACCTGCGAGTTTCGTTTAG